AGGTTTTATTTTTCAACATAGTCCCCATTCAGCTCCACACAACTGTTCCAGTGATGTTCTGAATTTTTTATCCTCTCGGAAAGGAATGATGTTTCGAGGTCGCGCTCGCTCCGAAACGATTAATTCCAAAAGGGATCAAAATGAATTTGGAGTTGTTATAAAGTTTTCTTTTTTAAACGTTGGTAGGCATCCCAAATTAAAGATGAGATGAACGATGTTCATTGAGACTCATTGCCATCTTTAAGACTATTTATTACTGGATGAATGAATTTAAATGTAGTCGAAAATCAACACAATATGTACCACGTCACGGACGGTCAATGAATATAACCACGCCAGAAATAGTGCCAGAAATCCATATTGCATCCTTATGGAAGATATACGAGTAAAGATATGTGAGATAGCTGAGATCACGGGCAACTTATTAGACAAGGTACACTATGTCCTTCATGTAAAATTACAGATAAGGTAGTTGTGTGCTAGAAAGGTGTCGCGATTGTTTACGATCGACCAAAAACGCATGCGAACAGACATTTTCCAGATGTGTTATCGACCTTGAGACTTTTGGCGTCTTTTTGTGACAATAGACAAGACCTGGATACACCACTACACACCAAAGTTCAAACAGCATTCAAAGCAGTAGAGAGAAACGGCTAAAATAGCTCTAAATAAGTCAAATACTGTTGTATCAGCTGGTGATAGCCACTGTCTTTGGGATTCGAAAAGAATAATTTGATTGACTACTTTAAAAAGAGAAAAATATCAAGTGAGTATTACACGAAGAAGTAAATTTATAGATAAAATTAATAAATGTTATGGCGGGGAACATAATTTTTACAACAATATATATATATATATTGTATTAGTGCAATGTTTAATTTTCCATTATTAAGATATATTAATGGATAAAATAGCTAAGGTTTCGGCGGGTTTCTTTCAAAAAGCTTGGATTGTATTGAAAAAATTATCTTCAAATAGCTAGAGCAAATGGTTTTGAATATATATATTTTGTGAAACAAAATTATAAAATGAATCTTAGATGAACATATTTACAAATATTTTCTCTCTCTCTCGCACATAATATTAGACGATTTTAGAAATTCTCTATAGAGTATTATTAAAGCTATAAAATGCTATATACAATATAATAAAATTGGGTAAGAACCTATAAAAAGGTGGAAATTGCCTCCATGGAAGGGGGGATGTGGTTATTTTTACTCTAAAGTTATATTACAGACGTAAATGTTGAGGTGAGGAACAGGTCACTGACAATCTATCTCATATTATATAGGTGATAAAAATGAAAAAGAGAAATGAGAAGAGAGAAACCTCATAGATTGTAGTTGAGGTGAGAATTGAAAAATAGTTCTAACCATAAGAATAGAAGATTTTAGCGAACAGAACAAGGCTTTAGGTTTTATCTATCTTATAAATGTTAGGAACGATAAAGGAATTGGAAAGAGAAATCACTTGGGGTTTATAGTTTTGTCGAACTGCAAAACTATTTCTACTTATAAGGATCGATATTTCATCGTACAGAGCCAGGGGAGCCTTCATTTTGACCTATGCTACCTTATAAATGTAGAAACTTGTATATTGAAGGGTAAGTCAAAGAAATGTGAATTGTAATGAAATAAATATTGTAACAAATATTTATTAATTTTATTATTTTTATTATCAGAGTGGTTATTTTTATGATTATATTTTTCTACTCTGTAAATTCCTTCGTGGCTTATCTTTTGTTTACCATTCATAGTTTGTCCTCTCCTTAAATAAATTGTTGTCTACTCCTGAAGTTTTTGCCTTCCCTAATTTTCCACGTGGCAATATAAATGGAGAAATTTAAACGGGTAGAGTTTCAACTTTGTGTGATGTTTCCTCAATATTTGAGTTATTAGGTTAGACGGGTTAGTAATTGGTAATTTCTGGGAACAAGGTGCCCATGTTGTATATAGCAGCGTGTTGTATCGTAAGATAGAGAGGAAAATTCTTCATATAAATAGGTTTCAGTAAGTGTAGAGTAGTCTAGTAGGTGTATTAATGTGGCGTGATTTTTACGGTCTAAGCGTGGGGAGATCATATGTGAAAAATGTTTCTAACCATGAATCTCTAGAGGCAAGGCAGTGATTGGTAAAATTACAGGGGTTAAATAATTGAAATGTTTTGAATATATCTTGAATACGAGTTTAAACATGTTTTATAGATCCCCAAATAAAATACTTTTTTGTTGCTGTTGTAACAATGTTTGCGTGTGGTATATATTGGATTATATGGATTAGATTATGTGTGAAATGTTTATAGGGAAAATTCAAGGAATTGTTTGATCTGTAAATTTGATCATTATCGAAAGAGGCGTTATATTGAGGATTTTCATGAGAAAGGTTTAATTGGCTTACGTTATTGCTATCGGTTTAGCGATAGGCTTGTTGGTTAGAACGGTTGGTTCGTACAACGTGTGCGGATATTATAATAACTTATAGAGTCCTGAGAAGTAGAAGGCCAATCAGACAGTATTTGGTAGGTAGTAAGTTTTGACTAAAACAAGATCTCATATCTCAAAATCTGGAGTACGATGTTTTTAGTCGAATCACGCTTTGTCACGTAGGTAACGGTCAAATGTCCATCAAATTTGGCCATTTGTTATTACAAAGGAATCCTCTAAATATATGCCATATAGAAGAAAAATTATCCAGATAAAATGATATTCGATATTTAGATGCACGATGTGTTAATTCGAATCAAGTTTTGTAGCATAGCTAACAATCAAATGTTCATCAAATTTGGCTTTTTGTTATTCCAAAGTAAAAATCTCCTGAATCAATGCCTCAAAGAAGAAAACAAATCCAGATATAATCCTATCTGATAATTAGGAGCACGATGTGTTTATTCGAGTCACGCTTTGTAGCGTAAGTCCAAGCAACTTACTTGTGAAAGTACACTAGTACAAGTACAAGTAATTCGCTAGCGCATAAGTACTTGTAACAATCAAATATCCAACAAATTTGGCTGTTTGTTATTCCAAAGTAGAAATCTCCTAATAAATTCCACATAGAAGAAAACAAATCCAGATAAAACATGGTACTGTTCTAATTGTAAATTATTAATTTCTCGCTATAATTATAAAAGCGTTCATAATATCTATCAATAATACTTTCTGTTCAAATTCCCTTCCTGGGAAATATCGACAGTATAGGAGGAAAGGAGATTCCTAATTAGCACCCCGTCTTGTCAGCTAGCTTCGATCTTCTTTTATTTCTGGCCTTCTCGATTTGAAATGATCCTCACGTCTTCCTTCAAATTGGGAACCAGAAATCAATGGAGAGAGGTCAGTTCAGCACATAATTAAAACAGCCAAAATTTAGTCTTCTACTCTCTGCACTCAATTTTTAAAAATCTGGTCAGATTTCTGACAGGAGTTCGATAAATATATATTTTACATCGTAACATACTCTATCTCAATACTTGTGAATTGATTGGGATATAGATCAAATACTTTAATAATGTTTTCAATCAAATTTATTTGAAGGTTTTATATATAATATGTATCAGATTATATAGTTTTAAGCAACAAAATATTATAGAATCACGAGTTTCAAGTTCTCATTTAATCTGTAATATTATAGTTAGAATATGTAACAAGAAACATAGCCTTGAATGCATTATTGATTTTATCAAACCATATTTGCATACTGTTCTGTAATTTCAGATTTATGTATACTGTAAATGCAATAATTTCAGAAGCGTATACCTAACTAAAAATAAAGTACAAATAATAAACGTAAATAGAATATATATTTGACTAGCTATAGTTTTATTTGCCATAGGAGTATATGCTTTTTTTATTATATAGAATTATTTGAATATCGAGGTGTCGAATTTTACCTTACACATGCCCCTTTGTTCGGACTGTGAGAACGCGTTTTTTATTGACTATCTTTATAATTATGGGGATTTGTGGTTTCAGAAGTAAAGAATAGACAATAATGGTTTGTGTGCGTGCTTTCTCCCACAGCTAAATATACAATTAATTAAAAATCAATTGATCTGCCTTTTTTCATATTTCATATGATTACATTTTCTATTAGAGCTCTATATATAATTTTAGTAATTTATGCCGGTTTGCCTGAACCTCCCCGTACAAATTAATAAGAACCGTTACCAATCATTAGATTTTCAGAAAGGTATATTGAAAGATATCTCTCTGAAACGTCTCCTTACAGATACAGCATCTGTATTGATATTCCTTAAACTTCATATATTTTCACTACCTGTAATCTACAACCTTTAACAAACAGCCTAGGCGAACGCCTGAACTTCAACCTACTGAAAATCTCAGGCAGAGCCAGAAATGAAAATCCGAAGATCGCAAATACCAAATTGTATACACGTGTTAGCCAAACATACAACAATAATAAACACACTATTACTCTTATTTACACACCTATCTATGTTATAATACCACCAGAAGCTTCTGCCAACACAAACACCTCTCCAGTAAACTCGCTCACCAATGCATAGGTAAGAATAACACATCTACGAGACAATCCAAATACGACCAACATATAACATTCCAATATTAGGCCAGGAGATCTTATCCTAGCCTAGATGTACCGTCGCCTCAAGACTGCTCGCTCCACAGGCCTGTATGAAGCTCCATAAAGTGTATCTCCAAACTAAGTCAACGTGTCAGCCAAATTGGACAACACATTGTTCAATTCTCTATATCACCCACCTGCACTTCCAACCGCTCTCTCAAGTTGTGTTTGCACACAATATCGTCATGAGAAAGCTTAATATAACAAACCTCGCTCAGACCGACCATCTTTATGCCTAACAACCATAACCTTGTAAAACGACATTTGAAAATTATTCCGCATATGTTTCTTTTCAACGAAAAATCAAAATTTATTTTAAGGAGAAATAACGATTATTTCTAACCTTGAGGATGAGGTATGAAAGGATGAATTGTGAAGAGTAATGATAAACGGAAAAATTAAAGTGTCCAGGGATGGGAATCGAACCCACATTGTTCCGTTTAACCGGCAGATGTTATGTCCACTAGGCTACCCTGGACACTTTTTTTCCCGTTTATCATTACTCTTCACAATTCATCCTTTTATACCTCACACCCATAAATTTAGAAATAATCGTTATTTTTCCTTAAAATAAATTTTAATTTTTCGTTGAGAAGAAATACATGCGGGGTATTTTTCAAATGTCGTTTTACAATCACAAGCCGCAATATATTATAATGTATTTTAAACCATAACCTTTACAACAATCTTTCAACGAAGGTTAGGGATCTAACGTTGCAACAATCGACGTTCTCCCATTACAATGATGATTCCCCACCATCCAAGAAACATCTTCTTTCACTCTGATAGCCGGTTTAACTACCAACCCCGTTACCACTAATGGATGAGTGTAGTAACAACGTTGCAATAATCGACCATACGATTACATTGTTGGTTACCAACGATCCAAGAAACATTCTTCCTCAGCTCTGATAGCCGGCTTAACTACCAACCCCGTTACCACTAATGGATGGGTGTAGTAACAACGTTGCAACAATCGACCTTACTATTACATTGTTAGTTCCCAACGATCCAAGAAAAATCCTCCCTCAGCTCTGATAGCCGGTTTAACTACCAACCCCGTTACCACTAATGAATGAGTGTAGTAATAACGTTGCAACAATCGACCTTACCATTCATTGTTGGTTACCAACGATCCAAGAAACATCCTCCCTCAGCTCTGATAGCCGGTTTAACTACCAACCCCGTTACCACTAATGGATGGGTGTAGTAACAACGTTGCAACAATCGACCATACTATTACATTGTTGGTTACCAACGATCCAAAAAACATCCTCCCTCAACTATGATAGCCGGGTTAACTACCAACCCCGTTACCACTAATGGATGGGTGTAGTAACAACGTTGCAACAATCGTCCATACCATTACATTGTTGGTTACCAACGATCCAAAAAACATCCTCCCTCAACTATGATAGCCGGGTTAACTACCAACCCCGTTACCACTAATGGATGAGTGTAGTATGACCCTCTTAATGCGTAGAACATCCCTAATGACCCGTAAGTCAGGATCCTATTTCTTTCTAAACTATACATTAATATCTATCTGAAACCATTGAAAAGACTTCAAAATTTAAGATGCTACAATTTCATTATCACTACCTCTTCAAATCGAATTTCCTGCATTCCCCATTTCTGTAAAAATATATATATTTTTTACTAATTAAATATTCCCTGAACTCTATACCTAAATAAATTTCCGAATTTTAAGGATTCGGCTAAATATTAAAATTAGGTTATTCACTCATCTGCATTCTTTAAAAATAATATATCCACCAGGTATGCCTTGTAGTGTTGGTGAAAGATAATGTAGCAACATTGTGACTGTTTCATTAATTATTTTTTCATATTTCCAGGTGCCTATAAATCTTCTTCCAATTTATACATTTTGTACATTGCAACACAAGATATGTTGGAAAATAATCATGTTTAGGGGTAAACAAGCCAGGCCGAGTTTAACTATTTTATGTGGATAAACGTATATTTATTCTAATAATGAATATATTTATTCTGTATCTTGTCTCATACTTTTACATTAATATTAAATTCGCATGGCCATTGTAAAAATTTATATACCTTTTTCAAACCTTATCATCGTTAATCCAGTTATACTTTAAAATTATAATTAAATCGTGAAACGGTTTGAGAAATATTTTATCAAAAATAAAAAGAAATGGGTAATATATATTTTATTTATAAATATATATATATAACATTATCTCTCTCAAATGTTTTATTATATAAATTCTTATAAATAATATTTCAAAATCTCAAAACTGTGTATAAACACAATTTTAAAAACCAGAATAACATGTATATATAAAGACTTAATTATCATTTTTTATTTTCCCAATATAATTCATATTTTATTAAACATAGTGTTTTCCTTTTTTCTTATTTTCCAGTTTAGAATAACCAGTTCCTCACCTAAGTGATATTTTCGTTGCCTTTCGGTATGGATATTCAACAAGACAACGTTAAAATTACCTAAAGTATTCGATTATCCACATTTATTCTCAATTAATATTTTTACTACGTTGTACATTGATTATTTTAACACTTATTAATAACGATTTATTAACATTTAAATGTTAGTTTTATTTAATAAATCAAGAAGTTGTGTTTGACAAATAGTTTCTGATAATCTTAACGTGAGGTTTCATTGATAATTACTCCTATAGATGCCGCACCAATAAAATTAATGTTCTATTGAGCCCTCAAAGTATTCCATTTTAGTGTGAGGTATTTGAGATATATTTACCATAAGAGAGTATTTCATATGGAAGTTTATAAATAAAACCTCTGAGATGAAACTGTGAGTTGGTGATGTAACATTGAAATGATGGCTGTGGGTATAGCGGGTAGTTTGTGATCAGTTCTTCGGGTATTTTACTCTTTAGTTATAACTGGTCGACAATTTATAATTACTATTATAGTTTCAGGAATTCATATCTATCTCAGTAACATTCAATTGTACATATATTTGGCATATACCTCTTCTATCTTCTATACGCCGTTGGTAGATTAGACATTCGCTTCAGTCGATGGTGTAAATAATTGACATCTCAACTCCGTATTCCCCAGTCTTGGTGATATTTCACAACCTCCTGTTCTGTATTCCTGGAATTATTGTATGGTATGAGAGGAATTGATATGTTTAGAGTATTGTGTGAGTAGACCTCTGTGTGTACTGTAGTTGTTGTTTCTTATTCCCTTGTGTAAAGATTACACGAATTTCATGAGAGCATGATCTGATGGAATAGGGTATAGGGGTACAGCTTTCGTTGATCATAGAACCATGATCCAGGCACACTTTGGTGAAAGTCTGACTTTGCCTGTATTTCCGTGCCTTTTTATTATCTAATATACACACGACTACACTTTTGGGGAAGAGGTATGAATTCGAAATATATAAGAAATATATATATATAGCTCCAAAATATATTAACTACTTCATACTAACTGTGTGCAAATGTTACACCATATCTTATGAGAATAATTGCGTGTGACGATATTTACAAAAGTTCACAAATAACTAGAGTATGTGTGTATTCAATTAATGGACTTGTTAATTTACTAATGAACTAATTTATTATAATCACATCCTACAACATTATAATATATATATATATATATATAATTTTAACAATAACAATCAACCTTTATAAAATATTTAAAGTGAATGCATATTTTTCATCGTGTCAAAAAACCGTTCCCAAAAAATGATTTCTTTTATAAAGAAAATAAAATTTTTAAACTACCAAAAAAGAAAGAGAGGGAGTAACAGATAGCAATTTTAAAGAAAAACTTGGTGAGGATCATTATTTTGTATAATTATGTTCTGGGTAGGGAATATTTCCCTGAGGAGAGAGAGGCAGTTAAACTAGACCACTCCATAATGGTATATGTACACCTCGCATTTTAAACTCTCCATTCTATACTTTTATTGGAAGAAAGGGAAGAAATATCTCCAAAATAATCATTTTAAAAATATCTAAATTATTTTTTAAACGAAAATAAACTTGAAATATTTCTTTATTTCAAGTATTTGTTTCATTTTTTTTCTATATATTCTCTCTATATTTGAGGAAAACAAACTAGATAAATATTTATTTTATTGGAGGATTTTCAGTGTGGAGGGAGGATTGGGGCAGTGGCCAATAATATCCTTTTCGCGAAACACTATCGATTCACCGCAAAGAATTTGTTCAATTTTATCGAGAAAATTTCGCCAATTTAGTTTCTCTTATCAAATTACTATCTTTAGAGTTTAAAATAAAACCGATAGTATTCAATGTCTATATTTTGAGATGTTATATCAATATTTAATGTTATTTTTATATTTGTAGCTTCAGTGTAAATAAATTATTTCTCTTTCTCAATTGCATCAGAAGCGTGAAATCGCTTAACTCTCTCTTTCATAATTTGTAGTATTTATTTGGTGCAAACTGGATAAAATGAAGGTGAACTGAGAAACCTGGTGAAGAATGAAACAAATGTGAATATTGGATAAAAAAATTATCAGTATATTTGATAAAGAATAAAAACTTGTCAAAGGTTCATGACAAGTGCCGCATATCAAGAAATAAGAGGAGCCAGCGCCAATATGTCAGGATGCATAAGGACACGGCATAGGTACCACTAGAATGGAAGTAAACACGACTCTGGAGTAGGCTCTGAGAACCATTATGGACTATGTCTCCGCTACATTTAAAACATTTGTTTATAAATATTTTAAATTTTTCAAGGCGATTGATAAAATGAGAGAAGAAGTGCTCAACTCCACAGACAACGGCTGATTGCTCCCCCTCCCCTCTAAATTGCTTTTCCTCCTCACTCATGTACATATATAACCTTTTGGGGGAATCCCCTTGTAAGACAATAGTGTCTTAATAAAGGCTTTTGTTGTTGTTGTTGTTGTCTCCGCTGCATTGAAATGAGATGAATGTCAGAGAAATAAAGTTTATATGAAGGGACTCTCTCTCTCTCTCTTCAACCGCATTGAGAGGAAGGATGTCCTCGAGATACTCTCGCCTGAACACAAGAAAATTCTGTGCGAATTCCTCAACATTGCCATTGAGCATGTTGGGCACAAAAACTGCAAAATAAGCAAGGTCCACACTCAGGGCAGCTTGTAGCTCCTGATCCCGACGTCCTTTCAGAGAACTCTGTTGTAAATATTTTCTATTTTTATTAAAATACTGTATCCTTCTCTAAATTTATTGTTTTGACAAGGAGTTAATAAAGTTTTTTGTTAATTGTCATTGTCTCTCTCTCTTTGAGTATCTTCATATTCTAAATAGCTTTTAGATACGATTCCATTTTGAGGATAAATTAAGAAAAGTGTTAAACTTACTTCAATCGATTTTGTGGATCGTTTTTGAAGACAACTCTCAGATTTATAAAATCAATTTATTAAACTTTAAATATGTTTAGATATATATAGAGAGAAACGAGTTAATTACCTCGTATTTAAGG